CCCAAAGCCTTGGGACCCTGCATTCACGTGGGAGACCTGGAGGAGGCTCCTGGCTCCTTGGCTTTGGATAGGCCTAGCTATGATTTTACTCATTTGGGTAGTGAACTTGCAGATGAAAATCTTTCTTCCTCTGTAAATTTGACTTTCCAATAAAAATAAGTAAATATTTAAAAAAAAAAAAACTACAGGGAGAACAAAGTCCTAAGTGTGGAATGCGTGAGGGTTTTAATGTCTGTATTTATTTATTTAAAGATTCATCTACTTTTTGAAAAGGCAGATTTATGTAGAGTGGGAGAGACAAAGATCTTCCATCTACCTGTTTAGTCCCCATATGGTTGCAGCAACTGGATCTGAGCTGATCCAAAACCAGGAACTAGGAGCTCCTCCAGGTCTCCCATGCGGATGCAGGGTCCCAAGGTCTTGAGCCATCCTCCACTGCTTTCCCAGGCCACAGGCAGGGAGCTGGATGGGAAGCGGGGCATCCAGGATTAGAACTGGCGCCCATATGGGATCCTGGCACTTCACAAGTGGTGGATTAGTTGAGCCATTACTCTGGAACTAGTGTTTAGTCTTTTAAAACATTTTTACTAAATTTATTTCCTTTAAGAATCTTTGGAGAATCAACTGTGTGTATTTGCATTTTTTTTTTTTTTTTAGTATTCACATATTTTTCTATTGGAAAAGCATATTTCTGTAAGAGGTTTTACCCACTGGTTCACTCCCCAAATGGTCCCCTGCTGCTTTCCCAGGCCATGAGCAGGGAGCTGGATGGGAAGTGGAGCAGTGGTGCTGGGGCTGACACCCCTGTGGGATGCCAGGGTCCCAGTGGAGGATTATTAGCCTGCTGCACCTGCGCACCAGCCACTGCTTGGGAGTTTTCAGTGTGGTTGATGTGTTCACCGCACTCTGGTTAACATTCAGCGAAAATTATGTGAGTCATCATAAGCTAAGCCCAACATTATAACTTTACCATATGAAAAGTCATAGGGCCTGGCCTGGCACGATGGCTCAGTGGGTAAATTCTTTCCTTGCATCCACCAGGATCCCATATGAGGCCAGTTCATGCTCCAGCTGCTCCGCTTCCCATCTAGCTCCCTGCTTGCCTGGGAAAGCAGTAGAGGACAGGTTAAAATCCTGGGATCTCACACTCATGTGGGAGACCTGGAGGAAACTCCTGGCTCCTGGCTTCAGATTGACTCATACCTGGCTGTTGCCACCACTTGGGGAGTAAGCCAGAGGGTGGAAGATCTTTGTCTCTCTTTTTCTCTGTTAATCTGACTTTACAATTAAACACATACACACACATACATACACACACACTATAGGGATAGGGCCAGCATGATGGCTCAATTGGCTAATCCTCTACCTACAAGTGCAAGCATCCCATATGAGCATCAGTTTGTGTACTGGCTGCTTCTCTTTTACCTGTCCAAGAAAAATAAATAAAAATCTTTTCTAAAATATTTTAATTTATTTTTCATTGCAAAGTCAGATACACAGAGAGGAGGAGAGACGAAGAGGAAGATCTTCCATCTGTTGATTCACTCCCTGTGACCGCAACGGTGGGCCAATCCAAAGCCAGGAGGCTGGAGCTCTTCTGGGTCTGCTACATGGGTGCAGGTCCCAAGGCTTTGGGCCGTCCTCTACTGCTTTCCCAGGCCACAAGCAGGGAGCTGGATGGGAAGTGGGGCTGCCAGGTTAGAACTGGCACCCATATGGGATCCCAGCATGTTTAAGGCAAGAGGCAAGTACTGTAGCCACTAGGTCACTGTGCTGGGCCCAAAAATAAATAAATCTTTTTTAAAAAAAAGCATGGACAGTGTTGTAAATTTAATACTAATGTGCAAACCAAAGGCAGCCTATAACAATTTGGGCTTCACTGTATAAGTGAAAAGCTTTAAGGCAATGAAGAAAGCAAGAAGAGAAAAGCCAGTTTGGCATAAAGGTTTGAGGCTATCAGGAGTGAAAGTGGTGACTAATCTGTGGCAGTTCTGATGGAATATGCTGCATGGAAGCTGGGTTTACATCCTGGTTGTGCTACTGACTTAACCACTGTGACTTGGTTTCCTGAAATCCTTCCCTATGGGGTTAGACTGTGCACAGAGTGTCTGGCACAAGACGATGGCTCAGTGAGTGACTGCTGTCACTGCTGCTCTGCTGTTCTCACGACCCTCCACTGTTTCTCAGTTATATCTGAGTCTTTCAGTGTGGACTTCCCTTTCCAGCGTATTTGAATCCCTTTACTGTGTGCGTCTCTGTTGGCACTTTATCACACACACAATCAGCTAAACCCTCCTCCACATTTCTTAGCATTTTACCTTCTGGGAGAAAAGTACTTTGTATATTTGGAATGAAATCAATAAATAGTTGATGATATTCAGTCTCCTTGTTGGAACAAGCTGATAAACAAGTTTCCAGGGTTAGTTATATGAGTTTCAGCCTCTCCTACAGTATCACCTTCTTTATTCTTTCTTAAATTGCTGATACAGATGCATTTATAATCAATAGTTGGTTTTTGTGATGCTTAAACACAGTCCCAATTACAAGGCAATTTATAAGTTGAAATATAAACAGCTTAACACCAGAAAGGAAGCAAAATTGTATATGTGTTTTTGGAACAGTTTTGACATTTTTATGCAGCATAACAACAAAGTCTTTAACCTCTGTATTTTACAAATTTATGATTGATGTAAGTATTTTACTGAAATGGTTATTTTCTAGACATCCACATCCTACCATCTACTTTTTTCTGTTTTGTTTGTTTCATATAAAAGAATTGGATTTCTTTGACTTGGCAGAATTGATGGAATATGATTTGGAGCCAGTATGGTTCTCTACCTTTATTGTAAGGCCCAGAGACTGTGTTATCTGAAACCCAGATATCTGACGTGAGAAGTACAGTATCATCGCCAAGACTTAAGGGTCTTATGTCTCAGAATCTTCAGTTCTGCAGAATTTCCGGGGCTTTTAGTGTACTCTGTTTTGTTTTGTTGTTGTTGTTGTAGATTTTCACTGTCAGTATAGTTAGAAAATAATTTCTATATTCAACTGGTGCTGTAGTCTTCTGGTAACTAACATGTTCAGACTAAACGTTCCTTTCATGCACAAGCAATTCCTGCTTTCAAAGACCTAGGCAGGCAACCTCAGGCTCAAAAGTACTAAACAGTAAGAACAGATTACTGGTGACGACACAGTTGCAGTTTCCACAGCATACTTGCTTGCTCCAGTACTCTAGGAATGAAAATTTCTGAGTTACATACCAGGAGAGATATGTTGCCTGGATACCACACTGCCAGAGAATAAAAATGTAGTTAGATCAAGGGATTTTATCTCTTACAATGAGGCAGTGCAGAAAGCATTCCAAATATGTGAGTAGTCTTAAGCTAGTAGCAGGCACTCTTTGTTTCTTCCTCAGGTCTCGTTTCCTACCCTTCTTAAAGGATAAAACATTCTCCCAAAGACAAATTGCTAGGGACTTTGAGAGGACTCTATGGTGAGCATTAAACTTTATAGGAATGGAAACCGGAAAAATGGGGCAGAATTTCAAATCAGCCTTACTTTTTAAGTATCTGCTTTACCTTTCAGAAATAATGCATTCATCACCATATTCAGCATTACGCTTTCTTTCCTCTAGCCTTTCTTAATAAGAAGAAATACTCTGCTCTACCAAGGGTGACCAGTTGATACTTGTGCCAGTTCCTTGATGGGCAATTTTGCAGCTGTATTGTAGTGTCTTAGTCAAAAAGGCAGGAGACCTTTTACTTTCTTTTTATTTCTCAGATATCTTTCTTCTGTGCATCAACTTTGCATATAGCTGTATTGGCGAATCTTTTCTGTCAATTCTAGATTTCATATTTTTAAAGATTGATTTTTTTTTTATTTGAAAGGGAGATTTGTACAGAGGAGAGAGAGATTGAGCTTCTGTTTGCTGGTTCGCTCCCCAGATGGCCACAGTGGTTAGAGTTGAGCTGATCTGAAGCCAGGAGCTTCCTCTAGGTCTCCATGTGGGTGCAGGGGCCCAAGGACCTCAGCCATCCTTTTACTGCTTTCCCAGATTGTAAGCAAGGAGCTGGATTGGAAGTGGAACTGCTGGTGCCATAGGCAGAGGATTAGCCTGTGATGCTCCTGCAACAGCCCCTAGACTTTATTTTTTTTAAAAAAAATTTAATTTATGTATTTGAAAGGAAGAAAGAAAGAGAAAGAAACAGGTCTTTGATTTGTTTGTTCATTCCCCAAATGGTCACAGTGGTGGAGCAGAGCCAGGCTGAAACCAGGAGTCCAGAATGTTGGCCGGGTCTGCTATGGGTAGCAAGAGCCCAAGTACTTGAGCTGTCTTATGCTGCCTTCTCAGACACGTTGGTTGGAATCTGAGCTGGAAACACAGCAGTGGGGGCTCATGTAGTTGCTCATAGGGGATGTCCAGTGTTGCTAATACACTCCTCTTTTGCCTATTTGCTTGATACTGAGTACCAAAATATCAGTAGGTATTTGCCCACCTTCTCTCTTGACTCACAAGTTACTTTCATCATCTCTCATCTGTCTCCTAATTGTTAATTCCCTTTCTTTGCAGTGCCAAGCTAGATTTCCTTAGCCTCCCAAGAGGAATTGATTTTAGCATATACTTGCAATGTCTTTAGGAAATGTTAGCAACTTCTGATCTTTTTGATGTTTTAAGACCTAGGATTATTAAAAGTCTTCATTTCACATCCTTCTAAAATGAAAGAAATGGAGAAAGCTGCATGTGTGGTACAATGCTAAACTTCCTTATTATCAGCCTTACCATATTCAAAGGAAATGGATCAAATCTTTTGCACTCTATGGAATTGTACAATAAAATTCAAAATTCAGAATAAAAAAAAAAGAAAGGTATAGAGAAGAAGATAATTAAAGCAAAAAAAAATGTTCTGCAGTATAGTCATTCTTCAAATTCTGGTTTCACATGTTCTTAGAAGAGATTATAGTAGTATATTAGTTAATTTCCCAGCCTTCCCAGATCTCTCTTTATCTAGATTTCTTTCTTGGGATATGGTTAAATGGCATATAATGAATATTTTCTTTCTCTTAAGCAGGAAAAAGCCCTTGAGGGGCATCTAATTTGAGAGAAAACTCCTCAGTTACTCCAGTATATATTTCTGGTGTTGGCCGGCAATCACGAAGACATCATTAGGATGGAAAGCTTTTCATTGTCCCTTGTCACATTCTAGACTCACTTCTTAGTGTACTTCAGGGTTTAGTTAACTAGGAAGATCATCAATAGATAGAGTGTGAGAAAATCTTCATCATCTTCCACTGTTTAAACCCCTGGGAACCTAGGACAAATGCAGTCAAGTCAAAATAGAAGAGATGTGTTTTGTTTTTTGGAGTTTCTTACAGGTGGTTATATGGTAAAGATGGGTGTGATAGAATAAGGCTGTGGGTTCTGCTTCAGTATCTGTATAATTACAGTAATCCAGTAGATTTCAGAAATGCATAGAAAATTTACAAACAATACCCCTCATCTTCTTGACAATGATGTGTACAACATCCAGGTAAGAAGTTTTGGTGTATTCACCTCATATTTACCCAACATTTTCATCATAGTTCCTGGTCAACAAATAGATCTGAACACCTGCTTTCCCACTAATCTAAAGGCATAGTGGCATGCCTTTGTGGGGATGATCAGCTTGCATCCCTTTGCTCATCTGGTGTCACACAAGGAAAGCATGCATCAGTCTATTCCACACAATGCTCACTGCAACTTAAATGACACCTTATCTGATCTGAAAGGGGGTGTGGCTGGTGGCTGAGCTCCAATGGCTAGTAGAGTCCTAAGACCTGATTCTAGGCAAGCATGGGAGTCAAGTTCACGTTAATTCACACAGTTTGGAAGGCTCTGCTCTGGCTGGGGGTCATGCTGGATACGGTTTCTGCTTTGGTCAGAGTAGCGTGATGGACTTTCTTTGGTTCAGAAGCTTTTGCCTCTGGCCTCATTAGGCCGTACGCCCGGGTGGCCAGCCCTGGCTGGGGTGCTGCATCAGTCGACAGTGTCCGTTGGCTGCGTGAGGTACTGTTTGCTGTGGAACGAGTAGAGGAAGAGCCAGAGCGTGAGCTCTGAGAGCCTGAGGAAGAGGAGCTGGGTTTCACAAGGCGGGCTTTCGGGGCTTCAGCGTCTTCTCTGAAGAGAAACACAGCAAAGATAAACTTTATTACTGGCAGGACCTGGCATAGCTTCTACTATGGTTGCTTCATCTGAGGTTTCCTAATCAATTCCTCGACCCGTAAACCTCTAATAATACCACTGGGAAGCAGCCAAGTGAGTCAGTAGGCACTTGGTCATTTCTAATGCTTACCTCAGGCAAAGTGTATGTTTTGTTAACACAGAGTGCCACCCTGTTATCCTGGGAAGGTCTATACCCTCTTGTCAATGAGAAAAATGTAATGGGCTGTCTCCTGTGTGCCCCTTACAAATAGAAGTAAACCAGACGCAATGGGAAACACAACATTTAAGACTGTGTTGTGGACAGTTTCATGATGAAGACAGGTAGGGAAACCACACCTTGCATCCCTAGGCTAGAACGTCACCCTGAGTAATCCTTTAGCAGATTCATGGGAGGACACTGGGGACAGAGCTGGCCTCAGAAAAGAATCCTGGCAGAAGTGGGGACTTACCGAATCTCATTAGGTCTCTCTTCTTCCTCATATCTCTTTTTATCTTTCCTTCGGATTAGCAGCCATATCAAGAGGAAAATGAGCAGAGCTCCAGCTACTATGCCTGTCACTGCTCCTGCAACCATGCCGATGCTTTGTACATCTGTTTTCTCAGAAGCAAAAGCACAAGAAAAAGCAACAATAAGCTGGGAAATACAGGAACTCCAAAAACAAGCAAACAAAAACCACTGGACAGGCTTAGTATTTCTAGGACCCCATCACTGTTTGTCTTCCTGAGTAGAACTCACTTGGATGACTATCTCAATATTCTTGCAGTTGGCAGTTACTAAATCACACTCTTCATCAGTGTTTGGTGCAGACTTTACTGGAGGAGACTGAGTTGATTCAAAAGATAAAGCTAGGGTGGGGAGGGTAGACATATATGCTGTATATTCAAAGATTTGTCAACCTTGCTGGGGCAATGTTTGAGGGGTCCTCTGGCTCTGTGAAGTTCTTGCCCTGCTTCCTCTAAATTGCCCTTCTCCCATCAATAAAATAAAGGGAAGTATAATGTTAGACTCTGTATAGGATTTGCCTATGGGTCCTCAAAATTCAGAACTCAAGGTCAATGCGATTTGCACATTAGTTAACACCGATTGGTAACTGGCTCATCAGAAGGTAGCCATTCTTTGTTTCATACACCAGATACTTATTATCACCTTGCTCTAGGCACATCCCAAGGCAATGGTGAAGACTGGCAAGGTTTCTGCTTTTGTGAGTTTACCTTCCAGAAAGGAAAAAACAGGTAACACAATAAAGGTAATTTCAGACCATAGATAAATTCTATGAAGGCAGAGGATGAGTAACATTTCAGAGGAGGATTGGAGAATTAACTGCTTAAATTTGGGTTATCAGAACTCTGAGGAGGTGACACTGGAAACATGAATGACATGAAAGACTGTATTACGATGATCAAGGCACAGAGCATCCCAGGCAGAAGGAATGTCCAGTGTGACGCACGTGAGTAGGTCTGAAGCACAGCACGGAGAGTGATGGGAGCTGAGGTGCTGGTCACGGAACTAGACGGGAACAGCTCACACCATGCCCTGCGGAAGCAGTGCAGGAGTCACAGGAGCCACTCCAGCTGAGAAAGTGTGCCCTGATGACTCAGGAAGAGTGCACTGTGAGGTAAGGGAGGAGGCAAGGACATGGGCTAAGATGCTGCCGGAGTACACACTAGGTACATTTCATTTGTGTTTTCAAGGTATAATCAGCAGACTTCGCTGTTTACTCATGTCCTACTACCTTTATAAGAACTAAATCACGGGCCTGGTGGCATGGCCTAGTGGCTAAAGTCCTCGCCTTGAAAGCGCCAGGATTCCATATGGGCGCCTGTTCTAATCCTGGCACCGGCCGTTGTGGCTCACTTGAGGAGTGAATCATCTGATGGAAGATCTTCCCCTCTGTCTCTCCTCCTCTCTGTATATCTGACTTTGTAACAAAAAGTAAATAAATCTTTTTTTTTAAAAAAAAAAGAACAAAATTACCACTTGATATAAAACTCATTATTAAGGAATTGAGCTTCAAAAATATTTACTACCTGAGTACTTTACAATTAGAGAATGCTAATTATCAGGTAATAGAATGCACTTTCTCCATCTGAAGTAGACTTCATCATAAATTTTGGTAAATAAATTTCATAGAAGAAGGAAAATGAACACAGATCTAAGAAGCAACAGTACTAAATCTTAAAAACGTTATGAACAGTGAAAGATGCCAGTCAGAGATGAAATGACTTTATTTAAGATTCTACTACAAATATTTATTTATTTGGAAGGCAGAATGACAGAGAACGAGAGAGGCTGAGTTCAGTCTTCTGTCTGTTTGGCTCATTCCTCAAATATGCCCAAAGTCACCAGGCTAATCCAGGCCCAAGCCAGGAACCTGGAACTGCTTCCAGGTCTCAGTGACAGGAGTCATCTTCCATGCTTTCCCAGGTGTGTTAGCAGGGAGCTGGTCAGTAGCACAGCAGCCAGGAGTCAAACTGGCAGTGTGAGATGGGATGCCAGTGTAGCAAGTAACAGCTTCTTACATTTTTTTTTTTCAAAAAGGCAGATGTACAGAGGAAGATCTGCCTGCTTATTCACTCCCCAAGCAGCCACAACAGCTGGTGTTGAGCTGATCCGAAAGGAAGGAGCCTGCAGCTTCATCCAAGTCTCCCATTCAGGTACAGGGTCCCAAAACTTTGGGCTGTCCTCAATTGCTTTCACAAGCTGCAAGCAGGGAGCTGGATGGGAAATGGGGCCGCTGGGATTAGAAGTGGTGCCCATAATGAAGGCCCATAATCACCTACCTTTTTAAAATTTTTAAATGGGGACCCAGTGCAGTAGTCCAGTGGCTAAAGTCCTCGCTCGCATGTACCAGGATCCCATAGGGGCACTGGTTTGTATCCCAGCTGCTCCACTTCCCATCCAGCTCCCTGCTTGTGACCTGGGAATGCAGTCAAGGTCAGCCCAAAGCCTTGGGAGTGTGCACCCGTATGGAATACCTGGAAGAAGTTCCTGATGCCTGGCTTTAGATCAGTACAGCACCGGCCATTGCGTTCACTTGAGGAGTGAATTGTCAGATGGAAGATCTTCCTCTCTGTCTCTCTTCCTCTCTGTATATCTGATTTTCCCATAAAAATAAAATAAATCTTTAAAAAGATAAATAGACCAAAAAGTACATTGGTAGGCAATTTTTAAAAAGATTTCTTTATTTTATTGGAAAGGCAGATGAGATTTATAGACAGGAGACTAGTCTATCACTTCCCCAGGCCATAAGCAGGGAGCAGGATGGGAAGTGGAACAACTGGGACACAGACTGGTGCCCATATGGATCCTGGTGCTTACTCCAGGATTAGTGAGTTAAGCTAACACACTTGGCCCAGTAGGCAAGTGTCAACTCTAAAGGTAACTGGTAGACCTCTGTCCAACAGAGGTGGAAGTAATTATTCCAGCTAAACTAACAACCCCGGAACGTGGTCTGTGATGTAGCTTTGTAGGACATTAACCTGATGGATGCCTAAACTAGCATTTTTTTTTTTTTGCTTGCTTGTTAAATTGTTTCTATTTACCTAACTTCTTAATGCACTTTGGACCAGTTTTTACATTTTACTGGCCTTCTGAGTAAAGCACTAAACAAAACCTTTAATTTGTCATTGTCAATATTTTACTTATTTAGAAATTACACTTCAACAGTAGTCTGCTTAGTTTGAATAGCGAGTTCACGGTTTTGAAAGTTCTTTATTATGTGTTTTTATGCTTTATTAGATTTTCCACTCCTGTGGCTTCATAAATATGTCCACAGAATTATTATTTTTATTTGTAAAGATTTATTTATTTTATTTTTATTGCAAAGTCAGATATACAGAGAGGAGGAAAGACAGAGAGGAAGATCTTCCACCCAAAGATTCACTCCCCAAGTGACCACAACAGCCAGTGCTGCGCCAATCCAAAGCCAGGAACCTGGAGCTCTTCTGGGTCTGCTATGTGGGTGCAGGACCCCAGGCTTCGGGCCGTCCTCGACTGCTTTCCCAGGCCACAAGCAGGGAGCTGGATGGGAAGTACAGCTGCCAGGATTAGAACCAGCGCCCTAATGGGATTCTGGTGTTTTCAAGTCAAGGACTTTAGCTGCTAGGCCACATCGCCGGGCCCTGCCCATAGAATTATTTACTTCATTTTTCTTCTTTAGAATGTGGTCTGGACTTTGTAAACCAATTTAAATGAATATAATATAGTAAAAGTGATGGTATGTCAAATCTGAGCCCATATCATAATGAAGTTTTGCAGATCTTTCTCGGGTCTTGAATTTCTAAGATCTCAGATCACTCATTTTGTGGAAGCCAGATGCTATGTTTACAAGCCTTATGTGGCAGTCCATGTGGTAAACTGAGGCCTCCAGTCACAGCCATGTGAATGAACTGTCTTAGAGGCCGAACTTGCTGCACCAGGCAAGCCTCGCCGTAACTATCACTGGTTGGTCTTATTGGCAGTATCTCCTGAGAAAATGGTGAGCAGGCCACCCCCCCAGTGAAGCCATTCTCAAATTCTGATCGACTTACACAAGTTAAGGGGTAATAAAGATAATTTAAGATACTAAGTCTTGGAGTATTTGGTTATATAACAATAGATACCAGAGACATAATAGATACCAAAAACAGTTTTATGGCTCAACTGACTAATCATCTACCTGCAAGCGACAGGATAACATATGGGTGCTCCACTTCCCATCCAGCTCCTTGCTTGTGGCCTGGGAAAGCCGTAGAGCATGGATCAAAACCTTGGGAACCTGAACCCACATGGACGACCCAGAAGAGACTGCTGGCTCCTGGCTTTTGATCAGCTAAGCTCTGTTGTGGCCATTCAAACAGATGGCAGATGTAAGCTGTTTGTCTCTCCTTTCCATTAATCTGCCTTTCCAGGAATAAATAAATCTTTAAAAATAAAAAGGCCCTGGATGTGGTACACAGGCATTTGAACAAGTAGACAAAATGCTCATGGTTACTTTTGTCTTTTAATTTGGTTTATCCTGTCTTGTCTTTAAGATTTATTTTATTTATCTGAAAGACAGAGAGACAAAGATCTTCCATCAACTGGTTTATTCCCCTAAAAGACCACAGCAGGCGGGACTGGGCCAGCCTGAAGCCAGGAACCAGAACTCCATTTGGTCTCCTACATGGGTGATCAGGGCACAAGCACTGGGGGGACTATATTCCAGTGTTTTCCTAGGAGCAGGGAACTGTAGTTAACAGAGAGCTAAACCAGAAATGTAACAGCTAAGACCTGAACCAGCACCACCACATAAAATGCATAGTTTAATGTGCTGTGCCACAATACTAATGGCTATGCTGTCATTTTTGAAGACTCAAACTCTAGATTATGAGCCCAGAGTATGATGTATTACACGGAATAAATGCTTACACTGCCAGCATGTTTTGAGGACACGGGCTTTGGTTCAGAGCTGATTAGCAGAAAATAATAATAGCTAATGTTATTGAATACACATTAGTTGTCAGCCACTGTTCCTAGGCAGTGATGTGTAAATATACAGTTTACTTTGTTTTCATGACTCCATGAACCAGATACTGTTTTTCTGCTGTATAGATTCAAAATATGGAACAGTTAGGTAGCAGGAGTATATAGTTATATTATACATATACTATATAGTATATATATATATATTATAACCCAGGCTAGTATATAGTTAATAGATGAGATTAAAATCCAGGCAGTTGCCTGATTCCAAAGCTAATGTTCTTAATCACCTTCATGCTGCCTGACATCTATAATTTGAAGCAATTCTAATTCTAATTCTGGATTATAACACATGCATACACATGTGTTCACTCACAAGGACTTTGGGGAACAAATAAATGTATCTATTTGCCTAGGATAGTGAGTGGGATATTAGTAGCTGGGTAGTTTTGCTTTTGTTTTGTTCCCCTCTTGGGTATAGTAAGTTTCACATTTTCTAGGTATTGAGTCAGCAACAGTTGTTGAAAGGTCCACACAACTACTGAGTTTATTTTGAAGGTATCTGTAGCATTCTGGAAATAAAGACTCTGATTTTGACGTCATGATCTCAGTCATGACTGAAATGTCTTCCGTGGAATGATGACGCAAACACGAAACAGCCCTGTGGGATACTTACACTGCACCGTGACTCGTACCACACAACTTTCCTTTCCAGCCTCGTTGCCTGCCGTGCACTGATAGAGTCCGGAAGAGGACATGGTGAGATTCTGCAGCAGAACTCGCCCAGGGTTGTTGTAGTCTGCACAAACAGAGTGACATTAAATCCCCCGTGTCCACGTTGTGCTGCATCATCAACATCAAATTCTCATGAAACTGGATAAGAATGAAATGGTAGAGCCCTTTTTGGAGTATGAGAAGAAGGGAAAACATTCTTGTAAACTGTGGCTCATCCTCAAACGCTTCTGAAGATTATGAACAGTAAATAAATGCTAAACAAGGTAATGATAATGGACTTATACAGTACTTTGTTATTTTACATCCCATTTGAGGAAAGAAATTTCATAGTTAATGGATGAAGAAATGGAAGTTGAAGAGGTTCAGCAGTGTGTCCAGGCCCAATGATGTAGAGTTCATGAGTAGAGTACTATTGTGCTGGCTCACTGGCATGGTAGAAAGACGCCTTACCAATTCTGGATTTGGGAGGCAGATGTTCATCTTCTCCCTCCTTCTCCTTGATCCGCTGCCAGTAGTAGACAATGGGCTTTGTGCCAGAGGATGACTCGCACTGTAAAGTCAGGTCGCTTCCTTCTGTCAGCTCTCCTTCCAGCTCACACTTGGGCTTAGATGGTCTCACTGGTAAGAGAAAAGTCATGATTCAAAGACCCCCCACACACCAGATTCCACTGAGAACGATTCTCTGTTGCTTCTCTAGTCATCCTGTAAGGTCAGCTTCAGAGTGGAGACTCTTCTAGCCATGATTTATATTGCTCTCTTTAAGTAGCCTTCACACACACACACGTACATGTCCTGGTGCTATTAGTGGTACTGTAATTTTCAGGAATAGCCTCAGAAATCTGCTCATTACTTTTTAAAGAAGAGGTTTTTATTATTTATTAGAAATTTAGAGAAACTTGAGTGTCATTTTACTGATGCTAAAACAGGGATAGACATTCATTAATTTAGAAGCAATTAAGTAGGACCATGTAACTCTTGCTGCCAAAACCCAGAAATGAATTTAAATCATAGATGAAAACTCAATGGTCAATATAAGGATGCTATTCAAACATTAGAGGGGACCTCAGTTGCTTAAAGAGGCTACCATAGGAAATTATGATCATACTTTTTTATCTTTATGGCTAAAACACTTCTTCCAGGAAACTGGGCTCACTGACTTTTTACTGTAAGCTTGCTTGTAAGCTTGAACTTCCGTAGCACCATGATGCATTCAGCTGTCCAGACTAGAGAGCTTATAAAAAGATGTGGGTATTTACCTTGGCATCATTCCTTACCTAAGACTTTTAGGATGACATGGCTCCACACATAGCGCCCTGAATTCTTCACCTTACAGGTGTACCTGCCCTCATCACTGGGCTTCAAAGGCTCAATCTGCAGAGAGGCATCTCCTGCCAGGAAATTGGAAGCAAAGGCTACTCGGCCCTTCTGTTCCTCAGTCAGGTTGTTGTAGACATGACGGCTGGAGTAAGTGATCACCTGTGGGACGCGAAAGGCAAGGGCAAGCAGTGTGGCTGTCAGCATTCCTCTTTTGTCAAGATGACAGAAAGGGGGCCTGGAGTGATGGCTCAGTGGCTAAATCTTTGCCTTGCACATGCCAGGATCCCATAGGGGACCGATTTGTGTCCCAGATATTTCACTTCCCATCCAGCTTTCTACTTTTGGCCTGGGAAAGCAGTAGAGGATGGCCCAAAGCCTTGGGACCCTGCACCCACGTGGGAGACCCAGAAGAAATTTTGGGCTCCTGGCTTTGGATTGGCTCAGCTCTGGCTGTTGCAGCCACTTGGAGGAATAAACCAGTGGACAAAAGATCTTTCTCTCTGTATCTCCTTCTCTCTGTAAATCTGCCTTCGGTACAAATTGATAAATCGTAAAAAAAAAAAAATTAGTCTCTGAGGGGGTCATGCAGTATCTCAACATGTTAATCTCTGCCTTGCCTGTGCGCTGTGATCCTAGATGGGTGCCAGTTCATGTCCCAGATGTTCCACCTCCCATCCAGTTCTCTGATTATAGCCTAGAAAAGCAGTGGATGATGAACCAAGTCCTTGGGATCTTGCACCAAACGGAAGACCCAGAAAAGCTCCTGGCTTCAGATCAGCTCAGCTTCAGCCATTGTGGCCATTTGAGGAGTAAACCAGTGGATAGAAGATCTTTCTGTCTATCCTCTCTGTAAATCCACCTTTCATTTCATGCATCTGAAATGTATCAGTCTTATTTTGGCTTGAGTAACACCTATACAGGCTCTAGGTACTAGGGCCTCCCTTTCTTATGTACATAGTATTTCTTGGATCTGTATTTATTTATTCAGTAAACAAATCAAGATTTATTAAAGATATTAAAAATGGAAATCTGTCAGGGGCAGGAGAGGGTTTTCAGAAGAGAAAAATCAGGGCATGATGCAATAGTTCATCTGGCTAATCCTCTACCTCCAGGAGCTGGGCTCCCATATGGGTGCTGGTTAGTGCCCCCGCTGCTCCATTTCCCATCCGGCCCCCTGCTTATGGCCTGGGGAAAGTAGTTGAGGATGATCCAAAGCCTTGGGACCCTGTACCTGCATGGGAGACCTAGAGTAAGCTCCTGGCTTCAGATAAGCTCAGCTTCAGCCATTGTGGGCAACTGGGGAGTGAACCAACACGTGAAAAAAATCTTTGCTTATCTAAAAATAAGAAAATTTTTTAAAAGGGAGAGAAAATTCCTTGGATTTCCATTTAGAATGGTGACTCCATCCTCAAAGCATCAGTGTTTGGGGCATAGCTCTAACATAGTGTTTAGCACATTCAAGTATACCTTTGTGTATTTTCTTCTCTTCCCCCATATTCTGTTCCAATAGTTTTTTTTTTTTTAAAGAATTGTTTCTTTTTATTGTAAAGTCAGCTTTACAGACAGGAGAGACAGAGAGGAAGATCTTCCATCCGATGATTTAGTCCCCAAGTGGCTGAAACAGAGCTGAGCTGATCAGAAGCTAGGAGCCTGGAGCCTCTTCTGGGTCTCCCATGTGGATGCAGGGTCCCAAGGTTTTGGGCTGTCCTCTACTGCTTTTCCAGGCCACAAGCAAGGAGCTGGAAGGAAAGGAATTGGAGCAGTCGGGATTAGAATCGGTACTTGTATGGGATCCCCGTGCATGCAAGGTGAAGACATTAGCTACTAGACTATCACACTGGAATTCACCACTACCACCCCTTTTTTTAAGGATTTATTTTGTATTTATTTGAAAGGCAGAGCAGGGCCCGGCGCGGTGGCATAGTGGTTAAAGTCATCACCTTGCAAGCGCCAGGATCCCATATGGTCACTGGTTCTAGTCCCGATGGCCCTGCTTCCCATCCAGCTCCCTGCTTGTGGCCTGGGAGAGCAGTGGAGGATGGCCCAAAAACCTTGGGACCCTGCACCTGCATTGGAGACCCAGAAGAGCTCCTGGTTCCTGGCTTCGAATTGGCTCAGCTCCAGCCGTTGCAGCCACTGGGGAGTGAATCATCAGACAGAGGGTCTTCCTCTCTGTCTCTCCTTCTCTGTATATCTGCCTTTCCAATAAAAATAAATAAATCTTAAAAAAAAAAAAAAGAAAGGAAGGAAAGGCAGAGCAACAGAGAGAAAGAAAGTGGTCTTCCATCCGCCTGTCACTGCTCAAATGGCCACAGCGGTTGGAGCTGAACTAATCTGAAGCCAGAAGTTTCTTTGAGATCTCCCACATGGCTGCGGGGGCCTAAGGACTTAGGCCATCCTCCACTGCTTTCCAAGGCCATATGTCAGGAGGTGGATGGGAAGCAGCCAAAACACAAACCTGGCAGAAGCTTAACCCACTATGGTACAGTGCTGCCCTCCTACTGAAGAACCAAAATCCCAACCATTTGTTAATGGCACATTGCTACTAAGAAACTGTGTGAGCTTGCAGGCTGAACGGCCTATGTGACCTTTAGCACTAATGGGTCTCAATTCTTATGAATCAAGGCCCACCTAAGTCTGGTTATCTTACAGGTGACTTCAAGTAATTAAGTGGGTGCTTACTTTAGTAGCTGGAGACATGGGCTGTCCAGATAGGTAGGGAATGTATGGTATTTCCCCTCAGCTTACAGGCTATTGTGAATTGCCACTTTTCAAGCTATGTGGACTGCCCCTAGAAAAACCCTATGGATGTGCTATTCGGGGCCACACTCCAGTAAGGGGTGTTGGTCCCGGCTGGCCGGTTGGTCAGGCAGCTGCCTGCTCTCAACCAAGAACCCAGGTTCGGATGTGCTGAGCTTGAATAAACCATCCTTGTGCACTTGGATCAACTTCAGACTCCTGGTGATTTCTGGGGATCTCAAAATCTGTGCGCAACACTACCAGCCCCCACCATATTTCATGAAGTAAAACCAGGCAACATACAGATAAGAATGTGCCAGCACTGTGGCACAGCAGCAGAAACTACCTGCAATGCTGGCAGCCCACATGGTGCCAGTGTGTCCCAGCTCTTCTGATCCAGCTTCTTGTAGATGACCAACCACATAGGAGACCTTGATGAAGCTCCTGGTTTGGTTCGGCCAGCCCTGGGCATCATGGCCATCTGGGGCAATGAATCGGCTTAGGGAAAAATCTCTTTCTCTCTCTAATTCATTCATTGATTCATTCTTTCTTTCTTTTAAAGATTTATTTATTTTTATTGGAAAGGTAGATGTACAGAGAGGAGGAGAGACAAAGAGGAAGATCTTCCATCCAGTGATTTACTCCCCAAGTGACTGCAATGGCTGCTGCTGTACCAATCTGAAGCCAGGATCCAGGAACTTCTTTTGGGTCTCCCATGTGGGTGCAGGGTCCCAATGCTCTGGGCCGTCCTCGACTGCTTTCCCAGGCCACAAGCAGGGAGCTAGATGGGAAGTAGAGCTGCCGGGATTAGATCCGGTGCCCATATGGGATCCCAGTGCATTTAAGGCGAGGACCTTAACCATTACGCTATCGCGTTTGGCCCTCTCTAATTCTTTCAAATAAGTAAATTATGTTTTATTAACATTTTGGGGGTAGTCTGCTAGTTCAGGGTCACCAGCTTGGAAGTCACTCCTCCCACCACCTAGGTGTTCCCTCCTGCCCACCTGTTAGTCTCACCCACCATCATCTGGAACCGGGGAGGGGGCGGCACTGCATTGTTGTGTAACCACTCCCCTCGGAGCCCCCAGAAAGGCCCATGACAGGGAAGGGCTCGCCGTCTTGGTCACAAGCTTCCATCACTCTAGCGTCGTCAACTCTTTGCCTCCCTAGTACCTGCTTACTCTCTGCTTCCTGTAGACAGACTCCAAGGACAGGTAAGCCCCTGCACATGCCCCTGTGTGTCTGTATTCCTCACCCTCTGTTCACTGCTTTGGCGGGACAGTAAAGATAGCAATGCTAAGATGCTTTGTATTTCTAATTGGTGTACTTTTAAGAGTTCCAGGAGAGGTTAGGCCTAGCAGTAATGGAATGTGGGCAGAGAAGCCAGAGAAAGGTGAATGCCTGCAGCATTTTAAGTGTGTCCTGATTATTCACTGCATGTCTCTTAGGGTAAGTTACATTGCTGAGGAAGCTGGGACATAGTCTTCAGTGTAATGGATGGCCTTCATGGTAATGACTGTTTGTTCCTCTTGGGGTTTCGGTTATATGGACTTGTGATTTGGTATCTCTAATGGGCCCTGTTATCACCAAGCTCGGTTAATAGACTCCTTAACACACCTTAGACTTGTCTGGCATGGTCTTGCTCACACCTTGCAAAGGTTAATAAATAATATATATTTTTAAAGAATTTGACATCTTCAGGAAGCACAGATAATAAATTAGCAGAGTAACCTTACAACTATTTAAGGTGAAAATTTCACACACACTTCAGACAGGCACTGAGGCTCAGTTATAGCCTTGCTGCTGAGCTGTTTGATGTTACACTTTGAATCCCAGATGCTTACATGCCTCTTTGCTTTTTTCGTTTTTGATATTTTATTTATTTTTATTGGAAAAGCAAAGAGGAGGAAAGACAGAGAGGAAGAACTTCTGTCCGTTGATTCACACCCAAAAAGGCAGTAATGGCTGGAGCTGAGCCAGTCCGAAGCCAGGAGCCAGGAGCCCGTTTCAGGTCTCCCATGTGGATGCAGGGTCCCAAGGCTTTGGGCCATCCTCAGCTGCCTTCCTGGGTCACAGGTAGGGAGCTGGATGGGAGGCTGGGCCACCAGGATTAGAACCAGCGCCCATATGGGAGCCTGGCATGGTCAAGGTGAGGACTTTAGCCACTAGGCTACCGTGCCAAGCCCTTTTTGTTTTATTTTGATTGTAATTCCAGGAAATGTAGTGTTGAGATAAAGCCATTCATCAGGGCATGATGGAATAACAATGAACATCAGTTTAATCCTTTTGCAAACAAGCCCAAAAAATCATACACATGGATTTCAGCTGCTATGAGACTGTTGGTTTTATGACATTCCTGGTGGAGCTAAAACAATCTGTTAGGACTTGAATGTGGAAGGTGAGTCAGCCTAATCTGGCAG